CTTCCGATCTCTCTCCGTAATAACCTCCACTAATTTTCGAATGCAAGTTGCGTATTGTTGCTCCGCTACGTCGCCGGAATAAACGTAATACGGCTTAGTTATCTTCGACTCCATCATCTTCTCGATTCTAACGAGATCAATCATTCGGAATAAATTTCAGCGTAATTCTTTAACAATTAACTGACTAAACGCCATGATATTTTTTATTGTAATGATTACGAACTTACACGTCTGAAAGATCGGTTTCGAGTCTACAAGGAACCAACGGACAAAAAAGTGCGACCTCAATTATGACAAACACCGGCTCGCCAGTCTCCGAAATTAACGGAATACTGTGCGTTATTTCGACGTTCGATTGAATCGACTGTTCGAAACAGTTTTAAAAAATCTTTTTAATTAATGCTGATTTTTTAAAAAGTGTTACATCACGGGATTGTTTCATTACTGAATAAATTTGCATAAAACTTTGTTAAATATTATATGTATGCTGTACCAACCTTTTTCGAATCTTGTTCTTTTAAATTTTTACTCCAAGATTCCGTATAGAAGATATCCTTTGCCAAGCCAGTCTTCTCAGTCATATTCGATGCATCATGCGTATATAATTGCGCAATTACGCGAGTGCTTTTTACTGCAGAAAAGATTTGATTAAAAATTAAGAAAAAGGCAGGTATTTATCCTAAGTTTTAACAAAATGTAATTATTTATTATTACATTAAAATTGAATTTGTTCGCCCTTACTTCCTGGAAAAACAAGCTCCGATAAGTCGACGTAACACTGATAAATCTGATATTTAACTGACTCTTCTCCCTGTTCAACGTTCTTTTTCGCGCTCTTTTCGCTCACCATAAATTGAAACGGCCAATATTTATGCCTTCGAATGTAATGATATTTAATGGATTTTCTTTGGTCTTTATATGAGAGTCTTTATATGAGAGATTCTAGTAGACATGTACTTGACAAGATGCTTCTTCATCATCTCGCTTTCCACATTATATAAAATGCTGCGATTCGTAAAGTTCCACTCGATCCTAGGCTCGTCCTGGTACACTTTCTTCTGCAAATTACTCCGTGTTACTCCGTGCTTCATCATGTTAATTCATTAGATCAAATTGTGAAATGCCGCGCCCTTGGACCCCACCTGTAAATCGAGCTCTACGCCGAGCGTGTTTTTTATACGTGTATAATCGTGATCGAGTTTCCACTTTGACGATCTGGCGCGACTCTGTAACTTCGATAAGCTCCGCCAGCGCTTGGTTCTCTCCAGATCGCGATATTTTGTCCATTTACCGTCTTCGAATATTATATTTTCCGGAAGCTGCGGTAGAGAGTATCGTAATTTTTTTTTTTGGTAATATTGTAATTAAATGACACTATTTTGTGAATCGATATTTTCGTTTTGTCAGATTAACACACTTTCTAGAATTTGTGTAGAACGCACGATAGTGAATCTGAACGTCTAACGGTCGTAAATTTTAATCGATTGTTTGTATGGAAATATAATCCTTCAGATAATATTTGTTTCGATATGTTAGTTACGTTCTTAGAACTGATACTCGCGTATCATTTCTTATCTTTTTCGTTTGTTCATTGCTGCTCCACGCCTAGCTTGTTACCATGATGAAAGTAAATTTAAATAAAAAGTCTAGTTGCATACAATAATTTGCGTCACAAGCTCGTTCAGAGAAAGCAAAAAAAATAGCAAGTAATGAAAGAATATCGATGTCACACTTTCGGAAACATCGCTAGTTTTAGTAGAGCGTAACATGTTAATTATATATGCGATGAGAGAACATACTGGGTGTTACGAATTATTACATACTTGTCGCAAGACTAACTTATTAGCCATCTTTCAATGCGACGTCATGGAAGATGTAAGTAGATAGAAAGCGTATTATCCTAGAGTACTAATACCTATAGGGAATGCTACAGTAAAAGAATTCGTATAACATTTTCTTTGGAAATTTTGCTTACAGTAAGTGCAGGATCAAATCAGCTCTTCACTCTTATATGCCTCCTCGCATGCTTCCAAGTCATCTTTGAATTTCTTCCCATCAAACTAATATTTTTTTACTTGTACGAATACAATTTCTGGAAATTAATTTAATGGAGACTTCTAGAAAGTCTCGTAGCTGGTCTAACTTATTAATAATGTGTTGTGAAACAAGGCAGCATACGATCAAGCTATCGTCGCCAGGAAGCAGGCAAAGGAGCGCGTTAGACAGTTTGAAGCCAAGAGGAAGAACTTCAGAGACGACTTGGAAACACGTGAGAAAGCTCACAAGAGTGAAGAAATCATTTGATCCTGCACCTGTAAGGAAAATTTCCAAAGAGAATATTATACAAATTCTTCTACTATATGACAAGTATGTAATAATTCGTGATAGACATACCACAATAAAGCATTAAAATGTCACTCAGATAAAAATCCAACAAACAATCCGAGAGCCGCAGAGTTATTTCAAGAACTCTCGAAAGTACTGGAAATATTAACAGACACAGATGACAGAACACCATTATCGTACTTGATCATGAAACCTCGGAAATATGTTCTCGGTAGTTGCCCAGATCTAACCCGAGAAGCAGACCCGAGACGCGAGCATAGCAAGCATGGAAAAATTTGTAGGGTCTACCAGGAATCAAACCCGGGACCTCTAGCATAACAGATCAGTACATTTGTTTGCTACCGCTATGCTCGTGCTCGATAGGTATGGTCTTAGAACATATATAAATGAAGAGGAATGCCCATAAGATGAACGCGTTATCCTCAACAGGAAAATTCAAAGCTTAAAAAAGCTTTGATCATGATGCAAGTAGTTGATGATGTATTTTTGATTATTCTTTCTTTCATTCTTAGAACGTTTATTATGTTACGACGAGAAATGCAATAATAGTATTATTATAAAAATAATAGTATTATTATAAAATATAACAGTACCTTTTCAATCTGATATACTGATACAAGAAAAGAGAAAAATGTCGTTTTTAAATACATATAATTTAACTAAAAAATTATAAAACGTAAATAAAAAGTTGACTTGAAAAATTTCTATCGTCTTTGGCTAAACGTTTATGATTATTTGAAAGCATATGAGATACCTCATTGTCAACATATATTATCGTGCCCGCTTTATAATCCGTGTCTTCGGCGAAGAAGATCGGTGGATTGTAAATACTTTCCACCGTAATACTCAGGAAATTAATTTCTGCTTGCGAAGGGAATATCTCCTCGTCGTCATATATTACTGTCGCGTTTAACAGAGGAAGATTTTGCCACGCGACCGCGTTGCCATCGAGCGAGAGATATGGCGTTTGCACTATCAATCTTTCTTCATGCAATAATTTTTCACCTGGCGCAGTCAGGGTCGTAAGAATTATTTTAAGTGCAGTATCTCATCGGTCTCGCTTTCTCGTATCGGCGATGATAAATCGTACTTACCTAGCAATATCGGCATTAGATCGAGAGTGCAAAAACCAATCACGCTTGAGGAAGCCGATGTCCGCTGTGGCGCGATCGCTGTTACTTTCTTCCTCGATTCGTCGACTGACCCGGGATCGGAATCGGTCGAACGTTGATCTTGGACATCGCACGTCACCTTTACTGATAAAACAAGCTATATGATTTATCGCAATCGGAATGATTATTATTCTTACTGACTTGTGAATTATTTATTGGTATGTGAGCGCAAGTACGACGTGAAAGGGTTTAAGTTTCTTTACTTAAAATCGGCGCTGATACGATTGAATTCATGCTATTGCGATCGTTAACTATAAATGAAAATATGACCGCGAAATTGACGTCGTAAATTTGCGGCGGTTCCTCGAAATTTGGATCGATAATAAGGGGAGTACTTTCTCCGAGCACTACGTCATTATGCATCACGACGAATGATATGCCAGCTTCTTCTTTCATCGTCTGTCTCATAAAAGCGAATTTTCTCGTGATTATGATTACGTAGTCGAATTATACGCAAAGAAAACTTACAATATTCTCAATGGACTCTATAACTATTTTCATGCTCCTTTCAATTAGCTCGACTTGAACCAAAGAATCTTCCATTTTGATTATATAAAGGTATATTTTCCTGTTGGTTTGCTAACTTTTATTTTATTTTATTTTATTAACTTTTATTTAACTTTTTAAACGAAAGCTTTACGTTTTAATATTTTGTTTAAAATAACCTTTATGTATTTTAATATTAATGGAGACAATAGTCGCGATTTTATTTTCAATTGTTTGTTTGACTCGACGTTTTGACTTCGAGTAAAGAATTGTTTTATTTTGAATAATGTAATAGCGTTTTCTAAATGAAATATATATTTTTTTCTGAATTGTGATATTATGGACATCAAAATTTCATTGCGAATAAAAAGATCATGATAGTATAACAATAGTAATTTTATTTATCAATAGCATGTGTACGTGCCTTCAATAATAAGCAATTATCTTCGTATAACGATATATATAATATGCATATAAATTATATTTTATTTATATAAATACGAATTAATCTCTGATATACGCTCCTGAGGGACAGTTTCGAAATCAGAGTCTAATAATCGAGCACACTCCTATCGTATAATTTATATATAATTTTTCTCATTAACAAATTCTAACTTGATTCAGCACATGATATTTGTGTGTTCTATAAAATTTATAGACGTTCTCCATTATTTTTCTCTTAAATTTTCGAAGATCCAAAATATATCAGAGAGTAACAATCGAATTTACAACCAAAAAAAAATATAACTAACGAATCTAAACTTTCGATTTACGAAAGCATCAGCGATTTCGAAATAGACTCATTGCCGTACAGCAATGAGCTCCTTTCCTCAGGAAAATCTTCATTTATATTTTCTCTTCCTGCAACTCGTTAATGTAGAGTTGGTGAAGACCACAGTTACTCTTTTCGCGACGCGTGACAAGTTTACGTCACGTCGACGATATTCACGAACGCTACAAATGTAATTGAGCTACGATTGCGTTTGCGTAATTTACGATCACCGATGTGAAGGCACTACAGTTCTCCAAATGCACTTGCGCATCCTTTATACAATCGTATAAAAAATTAATATACATATGCGTATATGTATTAAAGTTACAAGTATCAAAACTTCGTCGCGCAATAAATCCGTCGATGAGAAAAAAAAAGATCGAAGTTGGGACGCTCCTCGGGTTTTTCCTCATACTTTTTGTGATTCCCTTGATAACTCATTGAAATCACATCTCTTGTTCCACTTAATTTCGAGGAGGAAAATATACAATGCGGCCGGGGGGGAAAGGGGGGAGAAGCTATTTATACGACTACTTGTCGACATCTTTCTCGGCGTATACGTTGTAGAAAATTCATGTCTCTATGCCGTAAATTGGCTTCTAACGGATCGTAAAAACATCCTGCGTGATGAACAGTCTTTTGGGATAGTCCGAGTAGCGGTGAGACGACGGCTAGATTAACATTAGACTGATTTAATCGAACGATCGACTACAGGGTCTTCATGGTTTTGTCGATGTGTCGCAACGTCGTTTCGGGCACCGCTTCCGTCAGCGCTTTACGAAAGCCCTCGCAGCGGGTCAGCCGCCGAAACATCCTTTTCGCATAATTCCTGGAAATTCATTGCTCGCCATTACGATCATAATCCTATTTCGTTATCGATTTCATAAAGATGTAAGGAGACTCACCTCGCGTCTAGATTTCCATCCGTTAACAACTTTGCGCCCGTATTTAGCAACTTGTCCCTCACGTCGCGCGGTAAGATCATAACATGATCCGGCCCGATGAGATCGATGATGTCCGATAACAATCGCGCGGTCGTCGCGCGAACGATGGAGTTTTGATGACTGGACAATATGGAAATCGCAAATTGAGAGGTCAGCTTTCTTTCTCGCGCGGAAGAGCGTTCTCCAACTCCGCAATTCGAGACTGCCTCGGACTTACCTCGCTCCGCGATGTACGATGGTACAGATGATTTTGTGGGGCGGAAGATACTGCACCATCTGGTCCAGGGCCGCGTTGCTGTCCGCTCGAAGAAATCGATTCGTATCGGCCGTTCTGTGAAGCAGCGGTCCAGCTATGTCGTCCAGATCCTACGGGGAGAAAAATAATGAGGCGTTCGAAATAAAATATGAAAATGCTCTCGTGAATCCTGACGCCTTTATACGGCGTATGCTTGACATCTGACCTGATCGATATTCCGGATCTGAGAGCTGAAGACATCGCTGGCGGCGAGACACGCCGCCCGTGCCACTTGCGAACGAAGATTCTTTATGTGCCGCCCCAGAAGCCGTCCTATCGTTCCGGCCGCGCAGACGTCCAAGCCCTCCGGGTGCTGCTTCGAGATCTGAGACAGGGCTTTCAGACCCTTCATCGTCACTTCCCTGAAATGCAGGATATGAATGTTGAACGAGAAAGTTCATCACTTCTTGATGTTCATTCATTCTTCCACAGATGATGAACGACGATTTACGTGTTATGCGATCGCGATAACATCGATATGGATTCTACAAAGTCGACACGCACCAGTCTTTACTCTCAAGCTGCGTAAAGCACTGCTGCACCATCCGCTTGGATTTTTCCGAGGGCTTCTCCACAGTTCTCTTACTGAAAGGTATTCGACTCCTGCTAGGACCGCGTACCGGTACTTTCGAGGGCATCCTTCTACGCGACTCGACATCTTCCGCAGGCTCAGACTGCGAGAGAGATTATACAAAACGTTATTTGTTTATTGAAATAAAATTCTGTTCTATAGAGAAATTTCTCCTTGACAGATAGATCGTACCTCGATCTTCAATATTCCCGGTTCCATATTCGTCTCGCTCGCGCTGTCTTTGCTTTGTCTGTCCTCCAGGTTATCGTTTACGCTTGATTCTTCTTCCGTGGACTGTAGAATCATAATTATATCTTAATTAGAATGTCCTCGAACGGATAGTTTAATAGTATAAATAAGCACATCTCTTACCTCTTGTATACTAATCTTATTACGCGGATTAGCATTTTCGACGCTTCTCGCGTTCTCAGCGGTTTCGTGAGAATGGGGTCTCGACGCGATGATAATCGCCGGTGAATCACCGATCATGCTGATGGGTGGGTGGCCAACGGTGTCCAATGATCGAATGGAAGCATCCTCGTCAGGTACTATGGAAGCGATTATTCTGTCCTCGCTGATGAAATCTCTGGGGTCCTCGGTCTGGCATCCAAAAAATCGAACGTTAAATGGGAGACGTCGCCGCGCCGTCGAGAAAATTTAATATTAAAAGAAAATTGTATTAATTTAATACAATTTAAAATACGCGATAAAAAATTCGCGCGCGAATTTTTTACTTGCACATATCAATGACACGCGAGAGAGAGGTGCAATTTCTCGTACGTATATTTTTCTGTGAATTATTGCTTACTGACTGGGGCTGTTACTTTTTACTCACTTCGAATATTCGAAACTTTGAAAGAATTCGAAGCTTCGACGTTGACTTCAACCTTTTGAAGTTTAAGGTACCTTTGAAGCTTCGAAGTTTCGAAATTTTGAAAAATACATTAAAAATTTGAATTTTTTAAATTGGATTGAATTTTCTTAATTGGATTAATTGGATTTTATTGATCATTATCTTTCCTTATTTGCACATGTATCAAGTTTAATTATTAGTTTGTAATATTTCAAGTTATAATACTTTCAAATTTTTTAAGAATAATTTCGTATATGTATTAATTCTTTTAATTTACAATATTTGTAAATTTTCTGAATAAATTTATTATTTGTACAAATGTATTTTTCGAAACTTCGAAGCTTTAAAGTTAATTTTAAACTTCGAAACTTCGAAACTTTGAAACTTAAAAGTTAATTTTAAATTTCGAAGCTTGGAAGTTCAAATGTCGAAACCTTCAAAGCAAATCAGCCCTACTGACCAAATTGCGCGACCCGCAGCGCGAATTCCGCTTGGTCGGCGAGTCCGAGATTGGCGAGTGGTGAGCATTGTGATTAGGCGACAGATACAGCGATTCCGTTTTCTTGGGACTGATTGTAGCCTTCGATTGTAGCGATTCCTTGAACGTCTTCATGTCCTCGTAGGATGGAATCCGCTCGTTCGGCAACACGACGGACCTCCTTCGCGCGCTCGACCTGTCGTCCTCCGGTTGCTCGGGAACGCCGGTGCTGCTCTCCGTGCTTCTGTTGCAGTTCTCATCCACAGCGATCAGCTCGTCGTGATGATTCGAGTGTCTGGAAATCGATCCGAGTCTACCCAGCGGTTTCATGTCGTCCTCGCTGCTCCATTCCTTCGACGCCTCGTCCACAGTCAGTGCGTTTGCCGTCGCAATCGGGTATTCCACTTTTTTGGTATCCAGCGGCGTCTAAAATTGTTCGAGATAGTTATTTCGTGGGATTGTACGTACATCGAATTACCTCAAATCACATTTGAAAAAAGAATAGAAATATGTGATAAAAATAATAGTAGTTTGAGATCGCATTTGATTCAATGAAATCTTCTCGTATTAAATACTTATGTCAATAACGGTAGCATTTTTTCTTCGGACATAAAATTTTATATTATTGCGTAAGAAATTGAAAAAAATAGGACAGATTTTTAAAAGAATGTCCGTTAAATTATAGATATGACGTCTAGCTGAATAACTTTTCAGCGAATTTCAAGCAGACTCTATTTCAACTCTAATCTGACATTTAATTACCGTGATATTTAATGTTGAAAAATAAAATGTTGCGTCAAATGACAGACTTCGGTTAAGCTTTCGCTGGGGACGTAACGACTCCAAACATGCGAAAAAATCTATTATCGAAATAGCCTTCGTCGGTGGTGGGCCACCCTGTGTATGCAAAGATTGCGATTTGCAGGTTGAACTTGTCAGCAGTTCGACGCGCTGTCGAAGGGGAGGAAAAAATATTGAACAAAAGCCAGATGATTTCTTACGAAAAAGGAGTCAACGTCGTCGCGAGCGACGCTCTGGCGATTCGCCGTCTGTTGCGTGATAACGTCGAACGCCGGATTGCCCTGGTCGTCCCGGCTCCGCGGGGTCGACGATCCGCTGTTGTCATTGCCATTGTAATCCCGCAGCGTCGCGTCCTGACCTTCCCCTCGTCTCCCCGGCCGTCCGTTCCTCGAAACGTCCGACGACGAGCTGCTCGCGCTTTTCGGACGTTCGCGCACGCCGATTGAGAAGGAACGCAGAAACTCTGTGGGGATGCAAAACGTTCGTGAGAGGAATTATATCAGTACACGTGTACTTCGCCGAAGAGGTCAAACGTAATCGTTCGATTCTCGTCTGGCGTTTAGAGAAATTATTATTCTTGGCAATGAAAATATTCCGTGTGCCTCACTCTGTCTACCCTGTGAAAATAACCCGTGAACAGGCGCGCGAGCGCGCGTTTGATAGACGCTAATTTAAATATTTTGCAATTTGGAAGATGGGACGGGCTGACTTATCGATCTGACTTTCCGCTGCAGCGCGACGTTCGATCGTACCTTAGACTTGACCAGGGGAATATTGATTACCGCGGCCGGCGCGTCAGCTAGGCCTAAGCTCTATATGCATGCACAACGACGACGAGAGGTGAAGAACCTCTCGTTCCATTTCGCCGTGTTTTCAGCCGCGCGCTTCTGCCCGAAAGTCAACATTATATTTAATTTATTGTTCGGTAATTCTTTGCTTGGGATCGCGAGTCCTTTCGGCGTGACGTTCCGATCCCGAGATGCGAGACGCGCGATCCGTTGTATCATATTTATTAACCGTTAAACCACTATATCGCGGTCTCACAGAAACTTTACTTGTCAACAATTTTCTTATTTGTCATTCTTTTAAATATTCTTTTCTTATATTATTTATCTCTAATATTTCTATTGTATTTTTTTGTTATAACCCTCATATTAAAACATATTTTTCCGTTTCGTCATCACCAAATATTCAGAAAATACACATTTTTATTATAATTAACTTATAAAATTAGCGGGAGCATAATAGCGGTCTGTCAGACCGACATTGTGGTTAGTGTGATTTTTTTGAACGTGGTGGTTTAAAGATTAATCAAGTACCATGAAAAACAGTCTCCGAAAGATGTTATGATAATCATTTAAATTTCGAGGCGGCGGTGTTAAAAACATGCAGACGATACAGCTCGGTTAAATATTAATAGCGAAATAAAGATTAGATTGGAAATATCGCCGTGGCGGCCTGGCGAACGCTTTCGGGAAGGTCGGGACTGCGTACCTTGGTATCGCGATTCCTCCTTGTTCGAGCCCTGCACGTGGTAGCCCTTCGCCTCGGGCGAGAAGTGACTCCTGTTCCGCGCGTTGTACTCCTCCTCGTTCATCGTCGTCGCCTTATCACTGCAAGAGACGCAAAAATAGAAATCGACTCGGAAGTAATTTCGCATGCGACCGTTGCGCATTAATGTTTCAGGAATGACGGGGTTCGCGGCGCAAAACACGGTATTTTCGCGCGAACTTCGGTTGCACCGCATCAACAACTGTTTATAAGCTGCAGAAGCGGCGTCGGTATTCCAGAATCGCAAATCGTGATAAATAAAACAGCGCGAGTGTTTAACCAGGGGAAGCAACACGAGTCTAACGTGTCCTCTATACTTGAGCGTATTAAATTAACATTAGGAAACGCCTGCTAGCCTTTGAACTTAACTGGCCGACCTTTATGTAATCGAGCTTGATGAACTTTCCTCGCAAAATGGGGCATTATCTTTTCCGGGTAACGTGTCTCTCGAACTTTCAGTACCAATAAGCATTACTTTACATTTCCCGTAACTTGCATGCCGTTTCTCTTATTCCCTTCGATCGATATCACATCTAATTTTCCTCCGCTCGGCAGCGCAGCTCTTTCGCGGGTTTTCAATATTAATCGACTGTTATACATCTATTATGAATCCGCGCTACATCTTTTCGTTCCCCCTCCGAAATTCGATCCGCGCTCGTTATATAGGTATATACTATATAACGTACACCGTGTCGCTGTTTCGATTCAGCCTCAAGGCGATGACCGGCGTCGTCGCCGTGGTGATGATGGTCGAGACGGACGCGTCGCCGTCCCCGTCGACGTCGTTGTCGCGACCGACGCCGACCGGCTTCCTGCACCGGAAGACGCACGGGCAGCAGAACAGGACGGCGCTCGCGAGCGTGCGCTCGGCGGACCGGCTCGCCGGCCGTGCCTCGCCGGCGACGGCACCGTTCTCCTCCTTCATTTTCATCGGCCTGCACGCGCAGAATTTGAAGATCATCCCGCGACGCCTGCACGTCGACGGTCCCGCACGAAAGTTCTCGGCCGCGGCCGCGAAACGCGCTTCGTTTCACCCGACTGACTGACCCCCGGGGTCGGCGAGCGCGACGTCATGGTTTGAGCGACTTGTTGCTATCCTATCCCATAATCGTATAACTCGCGATCGTACCCGCGAATTACAAAAATATCCGGCTTTTTATGATAATGAAATAAGAATCACTCTTTCGTCATCGGAAATTTTGTTTGCCGGACCGACCGTTTCACTAAATCTTATTATATCAGCGTTTTAACTTGATCTCTTAATCTTTGAGTTTTTTTCTCTTTTATTTAATTTTTATATTAACCAGGGGAAGCAATTAGTATTGTATAGCAATGATGAGATGGTTATACGGGTGGAAAAGGTTAAATGTTGCCGGGTCTCGACCTTTCGCAATCGTTAGAACGGTAAAAGGAAGTAAGTGCGCGAGCTCCGAGGAGAATCAATCGATACTAATGACAATTTCAAGCATCGGCAAACGCTCGACCGCCAAATCGCTTCGTGCGTCGTGTGACGCGACGTGTGTGCGAAATCGATGTGTGCGTCGGAATGTCCGAACCGCGAGAAACGCGCGCAGAAACGCGAGAGATCGAGCTGAGAGATTAGTTATTGATCAGGAGGCTTCGTATATTCCGAAAAAACGTGCAACGTTACGATCGTTACATTTTGTGTGCCCGTCTACCCGTTTTCATCGATTCCGTGTATTTTACTCACTCCCACGTATATTTTACTCATTGCCATTCCCGAATATTTCAGCTTCCCTGCTTTATATCTTATTTGTCTTATTTTTTTTTTACATACTACTCGGCCAATCTTACGACACGCCGCGATTTGAGAGTCGCGCGTTAGGTCGCCACATATTCGCGCGAATCGGTCGAATTCGCAATTATTCTACAACTGTCGCGTGCGGCACGTCGAACTGGCGGCGATTCGATCGTGATTGCGATGCTCATTGCTCCGCTCCATCCGGGTGCAGGTGGCAAAACTTTTCAAGGGTGAGCCTTGCGTATAAACCGCGCGAGCAGCTGCTGCGCGAAATCCACGTGTTCACGTCGTCCGCACGAATACGCACAACAACGCGCGCGGTGTACTCGCCGTCGACGCGTCTCTCTCGCTGTCATCCGATTTAAATGACAGAGGTCGATGACTGCACTCGCGACGTGGCGCGTCGATTGGGGCGCTCAATTAGTTTGCCCCCGTATTTCTTTCGCGGTGCAGGGAATCTTGCGCGAGGAGCGAGAGAAAACTGCGAGGGAGGATCGCGTTCGACGCCAAGGAGGCATGCTTAATTGCTTAGGGGGATACGCGCTCGTAACTATCGGCGACGTACGCACGACTGTGGGCACGTAGCGGAGACGGCGAGCGTCCCGACGCTGACCGCTGCCACCGCCACCCCCACGTCGTCCCCGCCCCGTGTCCGTTCGCTCCCTCCCCGACCTCCGCACAGCGCGCCTTGCTTCTTTTTAACCGCAGAAAAGAGGGCGGGAACACCGGACGAGAAGTTTCAGTAATCGAGATGCGATTCCGGTCTTTTTTCGGGAAAAAAAAATTACTGCGGAGCAAATGCGACGAATAAAAGATCCACGAACGGAAACGAGTGGTAACGTACATGCGAAGGGAATAAGAAATTTAATTAAATTAAGTCAATTTAATAAATATAGCAGTCGTAATGCAAATGTAAAACTAAAAAATCGAGTTTAAATGTAAAATATAATAGGATTCTTGAATCCTCTTGTCGAGGACATTTTTCTGCCGTTAGGTTTTCCGCGAAGACTCGCGATACCACCCTTTCGAGAGGCTCCCTTACGAGACCGTAAACCAGGCTGACCATAACTCAACCCTTCTCCCCTCACTTCGTGGTCACGAAAGAAGGGTTGCCAGACCGAGTCATGCGATCCGAGTGAAACGCGGTTAAAGGAGGTTGAAACAGATGCCAACCGCGTTTGTCGCCCTTTCCCTCCACAGCTCTTGGAATCTACTTCAAATTCTTTATAGTCTCAAGGAGATCGCGATTATTAAAATTATACTTTAAATTACGATCTTATTGATATGAGAAGGTCGAGGCTGTTATACTCATTCGCAATTAATTTGCGTTGGAAATTGATTCTAATTGTGCCGACACGCTAAAGTGAAATTCCCGAACGTCTCATCGGTTTAGTCATGCAATTTTGCGAAAAATCGATGCGGCATTTCGAAGAAATCAATGAGTCAGAGGCAAAACACTTTGATACATTTTTTTCTCTCAGGGGGGAGGGGGAAATTCTCTGAGTTTTCTCGGTGCGATTTCAAATTCGGACGGTGAGAATCTGTAGAGAATTTGATCTGGGAAGGCCAATTTTTCGCCGATTTTTACACGCAAAGCGCCTTCTTTGATGTTCGCCGTTATAACGGATATTGCGGGATGGGCGATATTGAATAGCGATTAGTGGCTGCGTGCCGGCTTAGACGTAAAATATTCAATGAGGAGGAATGGACGATAGTGCGGCAAGGCGTTTCGACAATCTACAATAGTCCCGCATGTTTGTAACACGCCATGCACAGCACCCGCGTCGTTAAATGCACCCGCTAACTGCACTCCCGGACGCTGCGAATTCCGAGTTGTATAATTTCTGCACGAAAGACGCGAAACAACCGCGGCATTTTTCTATCGTGCGGCACGCGCGCGCTTTTCTTCGTCTTCTCGTTCTTCTTTTTTTTTTTTTTTTTTAATTTTATCGACCGGCTAATTCGAGCGGTTCAGAACTAGTCCGCGCTCGCACGCTTCGCGAGCCTCACGATCAACGCGCTAAATGTTAAGCCCGCAAATTCTCGCGATCTTGATGAGGTAACGAAAACGGGAAAGTCGCCCACTTGTGTATAAATTTAGAGCCGATCGGAGTGATATCGGCTGTAAAAATCACCGGCATGCAAGGTGATTTTCGCCGACCTGTAAATCCGCCGCTCTTATCGACGATTTGGATCTTGCTAAGTTAACTCGCCACACAAGTTAAGCGTATTAAGAATTATGTGTGTCACGTGGGGAGATCGAGATTGAGCGAGGTCGCGCACCTTGCGGGGTCGATATATGATATTATACAGCTTAAACTATTATCTTAAGCCTCTGATATCTTTCGAGGCTAATCGTTCCTATATATAATAATTTTGCTCCTTTAGCCGGGCGAATTCTTACAAGTCTCGTTTTAGATTCCTGTCCATTTATTTGAACTTTAAAGCTCCCATAGCTTGTCGCCGATGTTTCGTGGGCGACGTTTACGCATATCATTTCGCGTGATCGATACGCCGGTATCTCGCTCTCGCAAGTTATTTTAAGACTGAATCGATCCTGTCTGGGATTGCTGGAGCGTTTAAGAGAGAGAGCAAAAAAAAAGAAAGAGAGAAAGGTTATCCTGTCAGTAGGGCTTACGGTGGCGTGCCGACGTGATTTCATTTCGAAAATTTCCACTTTGCGGAGCGAAGAACTTACATGTCGTACATCGACGCGGCGTGAAATCTGCCGGAAGCCAGTTTGACGAACTGCCGCGATCGGCCGAGCTGCGACGGGGATAACGACCGCAGCCTCCTGCGATGAGGACTCGCGAAGCTTTCCGAAGAGGGACGCCCGTTCTCCTGCGAATTCGAAGAGATTAAGTCCATCTCGGTCCTCTGCTGCGCCGCGTCCTTCGTTCTACGATCCTTGGACTGCGACAATTTATATCAAGAGGTACTCAAATTCTAGAGAGCTGAATTTGAAACCGAGATTCTCTAAATCCTCGGAATTAAAAGGCTGGAATCTCAGAATTGGGATTCAAGTTTAAAAATTCCGATGGCTTTAGCGAGCGTGAGATTAAAGAGGACAAAGCGATAGGACGATTTACTCACGCGATATCTCGCGCTATCCGCAGGAATTTGCGAATCCAGATTCTGAGAGTCCTGATACACGCGGCTCGATGGACTCGGAGCGGTTCGTAACGGCCGATAGGTAATTCTGTCCATGAGCTTCCTTTGGCGCTCGTGAATCGAGTTATATCTGTAAAAGTAAAAATCAATATAAATAAAAATTTATAAATAAAAATTTTCTTGGCCAAAAAAAAAATTGCTGTTCTGAAAACTCACGCCTCGACGAGTGTTTGTTGCTGCATATTTCTGGATAGCGAACGTTGACGTCCTGTTGTCGAGTTGTCGTTTTCGTCCGTAAATTTATCGGTATCCACGAATCTGCCGTAGCCGTGCGAATTGTCGTCCGAAAAGATCGCCTCTCTGTTTCCTGCAGCACCCTGCAGAATCGTAAACATAATTGCAACTTGTATTTTTATTTACGTAAGATCGATTATTCAATTAGGCTTAATAACTTAATGGTTTAATAATTCTTAATTTTATAATGCAGTTGACATTATATTAATTTTAATTTAGTTAATTTAATATTTGAAAAGAAAAAGAAACAAATGTCTTTTAGAGTTTTTATCGAAATTATAATTTTTCTTCTATTGGAAAACAACAGAATAACTTGAAATATTTACACTATATTCTTTATTCGTTGCTCCTAAAGCCTTTGTGTAAGATGACGGCCGGTAACTACTAGTGTGCGAATCAAATGTCTGATTCAAAGTCTGATTCTCCTCTTGTTGAAAACGTTTTCGTCGTTGATGTATAGCAGCGTACGATCTGTGAACATTTATAATATTAGTTTAATTCAAAATAAATTTGTGCTTTCTTATTACTCAAGAAAAAAATATCAAGAATGCTCACCCGACATTCTCCTGTCGCGTGTTTATCCGATTTTTATTACTGTCTAACACGTCCGTCGTTTGCTTTCGTGAATTGGAATTAACATGTTCCAAGTTGAGGGATTTTTCACGATTTTGCGATGTTATTTTGGGACGCTCGCGCGTTGGCAATAATACCGGAATTCTGGATTCTCCTCTGAGACCAGTGTTTTCCTGCAAGCATACATTTCACATACATTTAATATATATATATATAATATATA